AAGAGTCTGCGCTCCACCTATAATTGATTTAAACTGCTGAAGCGTTTCAACAATTACAGTCGAGAGAACTTTTGAGCGAGTGCCAATTTTCGTGCTACGTCTGTTTTCCTTGCTGCACTTTATTTATTTTTTGTATTAATGAAATTACGCAGTTTTTCACGTTCTCACTCATTTTCTTTATTATTTACCCGTTGCGTTTGTTGACTCATTTAATGAGTGCTGAGAGAGAGAGAGAGAGAGAGAGAGAGAGAGAGCGAAACAGAAATTGAGAGAGCGTTAAGTAAATGTGACCTTAATTTCCCTCACTCAATCTGTCTGTGTGTGTGTGTGAGTGTGTGTGTGTGGTATGCAAATACCCATTTGATATACGGTCTATAGAAATTGAAAGCGGCAGGTGGGGAGAGGAAAAGCAAAGGCGAGGCAACCACATCATTTACATGAACAGGACATTTAAGTAAAATATGGCCGGCGCTGTGGGTAGCCGAGAGTGCGATAAGCACGGGTTCAAAGGACGCTGCAAATTACCCGAAAAAGATGCTGCTACCCATCTCTCGCCGTTGCCCTCCCCAAAATCCTCACAAAAGAAAGAACGAAAAGAAAGACGCCTGTGGGAACGGGAGGCAGCACATAAAAATGCTCTAAATGAAGCCATAAATGCGCAATCACGAAATTACAAAGTAGCGGTTGGAGTTATAGGTGGAGGTGGGTTACAGCCGGGCGGTGGTTGGCTTGGGGCGTGGCAGAGCTGAATGTGTTTATTTATGCAGTTGCTTCAGTCAAATTTAATTGGCTTGCAAATTGCCAGGGAGGAGTTTGCCACACTTAAGTCAGAGTAGGAGAGCAACTGACCCACTCTTCTCCTCCAGCTCCAGTTCATTCCCTACAAAAGCAGACAACTGGGGCTCTGCGAGGGTGTGGATGTGAGTGTGTGTGTAAGTCAGACAGAAGACGTCTTCACGCCGATTCCGGAAAAGTTGGCGCTAAAAACCGCCGCCCATTAAAACTATTTGCCGTAACAAACCAGATGGCAAGTGTCAGCGGGGGATGCGAAGGCGGCGTAGCGTATTCGAATACGGATGCGGCTGCCAAAAGTTGCGCCTAAATATTTTCGGGCAGAGTCACGAAAAACTTGCACGTTAAGATTTGTGTGCGCTGCCCCAAAAAAAAAAAAAAAAACTTTCGATTGTCTCGACATGATGCTCAGCAAATTCTCACAGCAAACTATTTGTGCAACTATTAGAAAGTCAATTAGTTGGGCGCCCTCTCTCCCACTTCCTTCCGAAACATGTACATTCTCTCGCCCCCCCCCTCTCTCTCTCTCTTTCTCTGTGTGTGTGCTTTATTTTGCTAGAACTGCAACTAAAGTGCCTTAACTGGAAAAATAAAAGCAGAATGAGCGTGCGGAGTGGAGCGATTCAGGCAGCGTCTGGCGCAGGCGATTGAATTAACTTTGCGCCAGAAATTCCATTAAATGCCACACCCATGGCTAACCTGCGCTGGCAACCAAAAATCACGGAGTGTGAAAAGCAAATTTTTGTTGCACAAAAACAATTTTTACTGCGCTGTTAACGTGACTCACGTGACGAATCAAAATGTATCACAAAATATTTGGTTCAAGCTCTTTAACTTTGCTTGATTGACTATTCACATCTAAAGAATTTCTCTTTAATCTCTTCAATTGAGAAATTGAATGGTGAAATGAGTAAGTAAATCAATAAAAGTTCTAACATAACCTCATCTGTTATTAAAATGCGTAAAGAAAATTGTGTCAATTAGGCAAAAGGAAAACAATAAAATACGGCTGAGCGAACTTTTTGTGGAACACTTGAAACTTTGCAAGGGAAATGGAAATGGAAACGGCTGTTGTTGGTGTTGTTGTTGCATTGCCAGTCGGAGCCGGAATTCGAGTTGGTTTCGTTGTCGTCGTCGTCGTCGTCGTCTCTGTGCCATAATTATAAATCAACTAGCTGTCGCCCACTCCACCTGCTGCGCCTGGGACAGCGGCAACAACAACAACAACTAATCCACTCAGGCAAATAGTAGAGAGAGAGAGAAAAAAAAATGAAGAAAAACAACATTAAGAGACTCCAAAGTTTTGTTGCTGTTGTTATGCGACCCACTTGCAACAAGTAAAACTGGGTAGCAAAATGTTAAGGGTTGCAGTGGGCGGGGCAGTGAGAGAGTTCCCCTGTGTATGACATCAGCTATAATTTCCATTACGAGTCGAGCGACCTGCTGAAAATTGTACACCTGGGAGCTTATTAAGTCAAGACCCGCTCGCAACTGGGCAAATGTAATGTAATGCGCAAATGAAATGAAATAAAAATATCCAACTAGGGCGGGCTAGCCAGGGCGGTTAGTAATTTTCAAGGGCATGCTAAGGCAGCCACGCGAATAAAAAGCAAACAGAAAACAGTAAAAAAAAACTTGTTGATATTTCTCTGAAAAGCTAAAACTTGCCTCAATATTCGAGTCAGGCAAATATCTGTGCATAGTGCAGAATGAAATTAAAGGTAGCAAATCATATTTAGTAATTATTTAATAATTATATTTCCTATTTATAAGAAATATACCATAGCAGGAGACGCTTTGACTAAGCAAGTAATCAAACTGCTGCTTTGTGATAGAGAGTGTACCAAATTATATGTATGCACGGCTGTACGACTGCTAACATATAGAGACCACATAATGCTCTCGCAGTCCGATAAACGTGATGCGTTTCGTGATGTGTTTGTGCATTGTAAATTACGCACTGGACGACCATTTGCATAAATCACGAGATTGAGGTAGAAGTAGCCGGGGGCTTGGGGAGAAGTACTGGTAACATTCGACATTAGTCGAATGAGAAGCTGAGCGAGAGCTAAAACGGGGGAGAGCAGCTTCATATAATCAACCTTTATGGGGCCGATCACACTGTACGGCGGGACTGTGGCAGCAGTTGTTAGGCGCAACAACAATAGCGTGAAAACTGAGAGTGAGGCGTTACCAGCGTGCTGACAATTTACGTCACTTGGCAACACTGGAATCAAAAGCAATGCGCATGAAATTACATAATATTTTTACTTGCCTTTCCCTTGGCCTTTTCTCTGATTGTTGTTGTTTTTTATTTTTTAATAATGGCGTTGAAGTGCAGACAGATTGTAGTAAAAGGAAGCCAAGGGGGTTCGCAGTTAAGATTTCAGCGTTCCTCTAGACCCTGATTATTATTTTATGCCACGGAAGAGAGTTTCGCGTCACGCGCCTAAAAGTATGCAACATGATATTTGATTTTTATCGCTGCGTGCTTCACTGTTGAAGTGTGAGTGTATGTTGGTGTGTGTGTGTGTGTGTGTTTGTGTATTATTATTTCAGCTTTGGTAATCTTTTGCCAAGTTTCGTTTCGTTCTTGCTCTAATATTCGTTTTTATTCTGCGTCTGCCGCTGCGCCATTCATCAATAATTCACATTGATTTCATTTTTCTGTTACTTGCGTTGCTCATTTGTTGTTGCTGCCGCTGTTGTTGTTGCTCGTGTAGCTGCTGTAAGCAGCTGCTCCCCGCTGCGCCTTCTGTTGCTTCAAACAAATTGTTGTACGTACTCTGCTCGTTGTCTTACCTCAATTCACGAAATGCTCGCATGTAAACAATTGACAGGACTCCCCAGTGCCAGGAATGGCTAAGAGTGCTACTCTGCGAGGTTATTGCCGAGCATCTGAAGGTAGCCGTAGCCGTAATGCCAAATGTTGAAATTGATCTTATGAATTTTTAAAGCAGCTGATATTTGCTCGAGCCCAGTGAATGCCACAGTTCAAGTGGCGCTTCACTTGCTGTAGCATAACGGTTTTTCACAGTACAGTCTGCGCTCGTTTGATGCGTTCAACTGAATGTTTCGCTTCGTTTTTATCTAGCCATCGATTTGAAGTACACTCGGGTATTGGGCATGCCAACTTGTCAAGTGGCAATCGCAGTGGCGCTGTTCCAATTTAAATATTCCCACTTAAAGCCACTGTGCACCACACTGAATACAGAGACAGGAGTGGGCTGCAGCTTTTTTCCACCTTTTACGCACACAATTTGTATGCCTCTTTAAGCCACGAGTGGGTTTACCGTTGCTGTTGCTGCTGGAAATGATATGACAACACTGGAAAAAAGAAAAACAAAGTGAAAAAAGAGAGAAAAGCCGTCAGTCATGCGTTGCTATGTTGTTTTATCTCCGCTCTCTCTCTCTCTCTCTCTCTCTCTCTCTCCCCTTCTCCTGCACGTTACTTTTCCTGCTGGCTCGTTATGTAAAGGTATCCTGTAACCAGTGCGTGTGTGTCTGTGTATGTGTGTGGATAACACATGCTGATTTGATTGAATTTGATTTAATTTTCCAATTGAAAACACTTGATCTTGTTTCCACTGCTAGAACAACACGAAAAAGAAAACGAGCAGCAGCTGCCTTTGCTGCCGGCATGCTTATTAGAGTCAAAAACAGTTAGATATTGTAGGGCGTGTAATATGAAGCGGCTGCTGCGCTCTATAATTCCACACAGATTCGAAGCAAACACGAAAAAAGAAAAACATTGACATTAGGGACTCGGGGCCAGTAGAAAATAGCCCTCGAGTATGCAAATTGGCAAGAAGAAAAAAAGCTCTGTGAAAAATAAACCAACTTTTAATTATTCAAGGTTCAATGGTTAACATAAAGTGAAATCGTAGACTAATTGAACTTTGTAACTTAAGTTCACGAAGGACTTGTAAATAAAATATTAATTTCACAAACAGAGAGAGAGAGAGAGAGAGAGAGAGCGAAAGAGAGATAGAGAGATGAGACATATGGTATGTAGAGTGAAATACTAAATACCTGGCTGGCATTCAAGAAATCTGTGGTGGTGGATCATGTATCTGGAAACTTGGTTACCTGGCGTGTTCACAGCTTTAGAAAGCACAAGCAAACAGTACTTACAATAACATCAGCCATAGAAACCTCATTTATTTTAAATTTTAAACGATTTATCTGTTGTTTTCGTTCCTTTGCAGCAACTCTTTCGCTCACAGAATCCGGGCTTAGCGGCTGCGGCCGCTGCAGCCACATCGGCAGCAAGTGCAGCGGCTGCAGCCGGCGCTGCACCACCTGGCGCACCCAATGGCACAATGCAGGCATCGCAGCAACAGCAGCAGCAACAGATGCAAATGGCCGCCGCTTCTCAGCAGTTTTTGGCGCAACAGAATGCAGCATATGCCGCACAACAGGCGGCCCCGTATGTCATCAATCCCGGACAGGAGGCGACACCGTATCTGGGCATGATTGCCGCGGCTCAAATGCCACCGTATTACAACGTCGCGCCCTGGGGCATGTATCCGGGCAATCTGATACCGCAGCAGAACACACAGCCGCGCCGGCCGCTGACACCCTCGCAGCAGGGTGCCGAGAATCAGCCCTATCAGGTGAGCGAAACAGAGGGCAGGGCTAAGAGTCCACAAAGGGGCAACCATTGTGTATATATAGAGCGCGCGTACCACGCTGGGCATTTTGTAAAGTTTTGTGTAAATTGTTTGTACACATTGATCGCGATTAACGTTTCATATACAGCACATACGATATACATATACATGCCATAACTATATATATATACATACATATATATATGTATATATATACCTGTATAGTTAACCTACGACTTGACCTAAAACGTTGTATTTTTCTCTCTTTTCTTTTTCTATATAAAAAAAAATGCTTCATAACCTCAAAATACAAATCGAATACCAATATCAAATGCTAACCCTGTACAAAAATTTGTATAAATTATCGAAACTGAAATCGAAATCGACACTCCAATCGATAATTACTCAAGGTCATACCGGCCTACTTCGATCAGAGTGGCTCGCTTGTGATGGGACCCCGCACCGGTACACCCATGCGTCTGGTTAGTCCAGCCCCCGTGCTGGCGGTGCCGCCGGGCGCAACACGTGCCGGTCCGCCGCCACCCCAGGGCCCACAACTGTATCCACCACAGCCTCAGACGGCTCAACAGAATCTCTACTCACAGCAAAACGGTTCCAGTGTCGGAGGTAAGTGAAACGATCCATGCCAAGCACTCTTGTAATATATTCTGAACATATATAGATATATATATATATATATATAGTAGTTGAAGAGTTAGAAAGATCTGTATATAGCACCTTATATAGATATACATATACTATTTAGCCTATTCCATCATATTCTCATACTGGTGCGGCCATTATTCCTAACCATAACCTACATTCAACAAAGAACAACAAACTCAAATTATATATTCATAACAATAACAAGACAACATTTACATGCATAACTACATTATATATTGATAATATGATATGTATAGCAATTATAATGCCTAGCTAGACCTTCTTACCTACCGCCCCTTCCATATTTGCAGGCATATTATTCATGTTATAGCAATGTAATGCGATTTCTAATTTCAAATTTCACTTCTATTATCTTGCGTGTCTGCGTGTGCGCTACATGCGCTGTTGCAAGGCATATTAGTTGAACGGCGTATAACATGTGATAAGAAGGGGGAATGGAATTCGTATAGAATAGACGAATGCTTGATAATATAGTGTGAGCAGTAGCTATTATTATATAATAGCTTAAGTAACATTTATAGAAGTAATAATAATTATTTTAAATTATGGCAAAATCTTAGTTAATCGCATTTACTTATTGCCCATATTACGTCTGACTTACAGGGCATGACGAAGAGCTTGTGCAGTTCAGTCAGTAGCACAGACCAAATCAGTGAAACGCCAACGGTTGTTTTGTCAGTAAATTTTCATGCTTTTCATAAATATCTAATGCACAAAGAAAGAAGGGAACGAAAAATAATAATAATAATAACTAAAAATGAAGAAGAAGCAGCAGGTGAAAAGCAGACTGAAAGCAATTGCATGCAAGCACGCAAAATGTTATTATTGCCCAAATGCAGCAACTGCAACAAATGCAACAACAACAACAACAACAGCAACAGCAGCAGCTGCTGCTGCAACATTTTGTGTGCTATCCTTGCCATGCAATACTAATTCTGTCAGCCGTCGGCTGAATCATGCCATATGAGTTTGTGTGCATGTGTGTGTGTTTGTGTTGGTGTGTCTGTAAGTGCTCGGCGTGGCTGTAAAGCGCAAAAATAAAACGAAATTATCGGAGTTACGTTTATGCGTACATATATCGTGTATAAGCTGATTGAGTTTGTCATCGATAAATATCGTGTATAAGCTGATTGAGTTTGTCATCGGTAAATCTTTACAAAGTCTACCAAATCGGCAAGTGGATTATTCAGGCTTTGTGGAATGTCCATTTCGGAGAGTGTTTCAGATTGAGTCGTGATTAGGATGATCTACAATGAAAAGCGCAAAAGTATGAAATTAACAAAGTTTTCTATCTATCTAAATGCTGTCAGTCTGTTCGCTCAAGCTGCAATGCAGAACAAACAGCCAACTTTTGCAAAAATAGCTTTAATAGGAATGCTTAACGTTCCGCAGGAGTCGAGCAGAGCAACGCATAAACCCAACACGCGCACCACTCTAAAATATATGTGCGTGTTTGTGTGCGCTGCGAGTGTTGAGTGTATTTTGTGTTTAGTTTTTGTGCTCAAAAATAACATTTTGCAATATGAGCCAAAGGAATTGGGTCTGTTGGCGACGGGCGTGCTGGATGGGATTGGGTGGTTGGGGATGGTGTGATGATGGTAACCAGAAGCTTGGAAACTTGAGTGGGCGAAATGTTGACGCTTGTTGCAAAAAGCTATATTTGTATTTGTCTTGCTGTTGTTGTTGTCGCTACTGCTGCTGCTCCTCCTGCTGCTCCTGCTCCTGCTGCTGCTGTTGGCAATTGTTGTAAATTTATAGAATTTCAAATTATAATTAATAACGGCAGTCAGGCAATGAAAGTTTACACTTTCGTCGGAGTTTACTTGCATAACGCTTTGTACAGGGCCCCGCCCCGCCCCACCTCACCCCAGCTCACCGACGCCCCTTTGCTGATGGCTGTCTGGCGCTCCCTCGACGCCTCAGTTGGCATTTTCTATTACCCAAAAGCTGCTACTGCAAATGCTGTGGGGCAATGAAAAGTTGTAATTTTCTAGCTGTAAAATAGTTGTTTCAGCTTTTCACTGCCGGAAAATGTAGCCCGGCACTGTGGCGCCCACAAATTCAACTGCAATATTTGTGTTTTGTTCGCCGAGCTGGAGAGGCGCGTCATTTAAGCGCTTATTGAATTATTCACCCCGAAGCGAACGTCAGGGAAAAATCAATTTGACCACACGGAATCCCACTTAATGGAGCAAAAATACAAAAATCGAGCCATTTGCATTCTCATTTCCCACTACGAGTTTCTCAATTCCCTGCTGCCGCACACACATTTTCGACATTTTCCAACCGTTAGCTCTCTTAACACGTTAATGGCTCAACTTTCACATTATTTCGTTAATTAATTTCCCTTCATGCTGGACGTTTAATGAGGATTTTTCGTCATTTTTTCCACGAAATGTTCTTTTTCCACGAATTATTTTGCTGACGCATCTCCCATGACGTATGGCTACCAATTTCATACAATTTGCATGCGGTATACCCTGTAATATATGGCCAATGTGAAGTGGATAGTAAAGTTCAGTTCAATGAGCAAAGCTCATGGCTGAAGTGAAGTGAAATCACATGAAAAATATAATATATAAAATATGATAATGATAAAATAATATAATAGAAAGTAGTAGATATTCAATTAAATATCATTGCATAGCCACTGCTAATTCCTATTGAATATTTCGCATGAATAACCTAATGATATTCCCTGCATATAGTCTATTGCATTTGCACATTCTCAACCCCCAATAAATACTAGCTATTCTAATGGTATAATTATGCTCTAAGTATCATTCACTTTAACTAATGCTTATGTCTAATCAATTGTGTTTCGAGCGTGTCGCTTACATAACGTTACGCATACGCCATGTTGTGCACGTCATTGGGAATTTCATTAAGCGCAAAGTGCAGCAGTTGCCTAGTACTCGCCTCTCTCTCTCTCTCTCTCTCTCTCTTGCACTCCCGCTCTATGAGTCGTACTTTGTCACTCACCTCCGCACATACAGTAGCTGGCTCTCCTTTGCGGCAAGTGTCAAACAAGTTGCTGCTGCTGCTGCTGCTGCTACTGCTGCTGCATGTGGCACAAAATCATTCACAAGCTGCCATTGCTGCTTCTGCCACCTTCCTGCCACAAACCTCCTTGCTCGACGCAATTGCAGCAGCTGCTGCAGCTCGTCTGTGGCCCAGCAGCAATTGACATTTTACAAAATAAACGAATTCATTTGCACAAAAGCCAGCAGCAGGCGGTTGCAGTGAGCAACAAGGATAACAGCAGCAGCAACAACAACAAAGCGAGCATTATGCCAGACAGAGCACGAGCATAGTGGGAAAAGGGCAGCGATAGCAGCTAGAGTAAATGTAAAATGGTTTTGGCATTGGCTTTGCCTTTTGTGCTGTTGTTGCTGTTGTAGTTGCTTGCTTTCACTTTCCCCCAAATGCAATCACATGTTGCCAACATGTGAAAGGTGTACATAATAATTTGTGGGCATGGCCAGGATGCAAGGCAAAGGCATAGCCAAATCGAAAGGGTGCCCAAGGAAGCCTTCCGTCTGATCTGCTCTGTGGTGCCGGGTCGCTTGTCTCTCCTTCGCAATATTGCAAAGGACATCCAAATGCTTTGGCGGTTGCAAAGTCATACACACACACAGACACACATAAGCCCCCTTCACTGTTCGTTCATGCTGTATGTAAGTATGTGTGTGCACGCATTAACGTTTGTAATTGCAGCTTGTCTGCGCACAGACCCGCAGGGTGGCTGGGTAGCGTATGCCGGGTGGGTGGGACTGAGAGATGTGCAGCCACTTAAAACAATATAATCTCCATTAAAAAGCTTTTTGACATTGCACGCAGGCCCAAAGGAGTCCGGACTCGAGGGAGCTACGTGGGCGGGGGAGGCTGTGCAGCGGGCTGACACTGTGACTGCTGTGGCAGTGCATGGATGGGCCTGGGCCGGGCCTGGGCCTGTGCATGTGACTCGTGACTTGGCTATGAGGCTTACAATTGTTGTCTTGGCGCATCGATGGCAGCACTACAGTAATGAGTGGGAGGGGGGGTAAGCGAGCCTGCCATTTAGCAGGAGAGGGGAGTGCTGCGGGATGTGCCAAACAATTGAGAAGCGACTCACTTGCCTTAGTGCTAATTGCAATTGAGATATGTGTGTGAATGTGTGTGTGTGTGGCTGTGTGGGTGTATAGGTGTGTGAGTGTGTGTGCTAGTGGTTGTGCACAGTACTCGAGAGTCTCGAGCCGAGACACAATTCGCAATCAGCAGGCTTCGGTCTGAATTGAATTGGACTGCATTGAATGGGCGAGCCCAAACCATGTCAAGAAGAGCGTAATGACAAATGCACTTAATTGATTTTTGACTGATTGTCAGGCGCCACAGGGGGGAGGGGGTGTGCAATAAGGGGCGAGGGCGTCATTTCGAAGTGGGCATGTCTCGCACGTGTGGCATACTTAACCTAGTTGCGTTTAGCTAACGATACCACATGCAAATGAAAAGCATTCAAATCAAATCATAAATACATTTATGTTAATTAAGTGATGCAGCGGATGGATGTAGCTGTGTAGTATTCCAGATATAGTTACGATATTAAAAACAGCAGCAGAGCTCTACTTTCTGAGAGATCTTAATATAAGTAATCAAGCAGACGACTATGCATGCCATCCAATAACCATATACTATATACATACATATGTATGTATTTATGTGCATATTTATTCACATAAACGGAAACTTCATACACTCCCACGCAAGCATGCATCTCTCACTCTCTCTCTCTCTCACTCTTCTATTAAGCAGCTCGCTTAAGATGCATCTTGAAGATACAAAGACATCTCGCGAGTAGCACTCAAATTGCTGTCTTGAGTTACAGCTTCATATGATGGGCCAGTTCAGTTTGAAAGCATGCATTTTATGCCGGCTTTTCCAACACTAATTACATTTTTGTGTAAAGCGCTCTCAACACTGTTTATTTGATAGCCCACTTAACGACTTTTACAAACTTGCCCAGCTCTTTAGTCGTCGTTCGTTCTTGGCAATAGTTTCCGGGCATTTAAATAACTCGAAACATTTTATTTAATGCGTTTTCTTTTTTACTGCCTACCTGTCTCTCTCTGTGCGTGTGTGTGTGTGTGTGTGTGTTGGTAGATGTGCATAATGCGCACGTGTGTGCATTTATAATTCATAAAATGATTACATTAGGCTGAGCAGGCACCGGGGCGTGGTGGGGGCTTGTCTATGAGGTGGCATCTGCTGCTCTGCTCACATGTGGAACGTGTGCATAAACCACAAAATGTCGCCTGCTATAAACCGGGGCGTCTTTTTAATGCCCCACACTTACGCAGACACACGCAAGTGTGTGAGTGTGTGTGTGAGTGTGTCTATATGTGCACATGTGAGAGATGCTGCAGTTTCATTTCGCAAAGTGTCCTTGCTGCTACACGCGATACAGAACGAGAGAGAAAGAGAGAGGGAGAGGGAGGCAAAGAGACGCAGGCAGAGGACGGAGTCCTGTCAGACATAGCTCGCAGCGTTAGATAAATGGGCAGGGTGTGGAATAAAGTGGGATGCCTGTAAAAGACAGGTAGTTCCCGCTCTTAATTATTACGACTGTTTTCAACTACCGATACTTGGATATCTCCCTCTCTCTCTCTTCACAATCTCTAGCACACACAAATTGCATGAATAATTCCCTTTTAAATTGTTGAAGCTACCACGCGGCACATTAAACACTCGGCAGAGGGGAAATGCTGTGGGGGTGGGGGATGCTGTAACACCAAATAAAATAAACAAACTGGCAAACATCCAAAGCAGAAGAGTAGTTCTGTGGCCCAGTCCCCAATCCTGTCCAGTGCACAGACTGCTGCAGGCCGCCCACTCGACACTTTCATTGACGCAAATTGTTTGTACTACATAATCCATTCCAACCCGCCCTATAGCCTGCACGCCCACGCTCCCCTGGTCGTGTTCATTGCCTGCACTTGAAATGGAATTTAGCAGTCGCGACGCTGAAGTGCGCCAAATTAGTTGCAATTTAAATGCAAAAATTAAAAGTTTTTATCCAGACGCGTCGACGAGCACACGAAAATTGTTGTAGTCATTTATTAAGCATTGTATTTTGCAACACTGGTTGCTGGCAATCCTAGTAAAATTTACATTTTCCTGCATGTTTCAATTAAGTGTCGCATTGAGATGTAGAGCAGCAGGAACTAAGAATTAGATGAAACCCGTTTGACGGCTTTGAATTACAATTCCATTTCTAACTGTTTACACACACCTAGTTGGACCAAGATTAATTTTGCAACACATTTGACTAATTTGGATAATTTAGTTGATCGTTCTACAACACTGTATTCAGCTGCTGTTTAAGTTTATTCAACACAAAATTAGTTTGACAACAATTAACAGTCATAATCAAATTTCAGCTTATTTCTAGCTAATAATTCTAAAGCAATTTAAACTTCTCCCACTGAAACTGTTAAACTTTGGTAATTTTCACGCCATTTCATTTAAATTCTTTGCGATTCTCTGGCGTGACGGCGAGATAGCGGAACTTAACTGAATATATAGCACAATGGCACACACATGTGGCATGTGGGCCGCGCCTCTCATTAGGAGAAGGCAATCGCTCGGTGTTTATGGCACAGTTGAGGACGACATTTATAAAGAAATTTATGCAATTAATTTGCGCAGTAGTCCGCCCGCACCCTCTCCTCCGCATGGGCGCGGGGCTTTCGTGTTGCAAGGCTTGCCGCAGGCATTCTTCTGTTGGCTGCAGTGGTGGTAGGGAAGGGGGGAGAGGTCGCATGCAACAGCCGGCAGCAGGCAATGAATTCATTAGGGCGTAAAGTTGCCAGCGCCGTGGATTCGAATGTAAGTTGTCGCTTGTGAATGGCATTGCATTCTCGCAGGCGCAAAACTTTCACTCTTCTTTATATTTGTTTTCTTTTTTCTTTTTTTTTTTTTTTTTAGCTGCTTAAAACATGTCCTGTCAGGCAGTAAATTCTGCCCGCTCTGTTCTGCTCTGCTCCTCTGTGCAAATCAATGCCAGTGACATATTACAGCATCCATCAAGTTGGCAGCGACCCACCTCTCTCTCTCTCTCTCTCTCCATCTCGCTCTTCTGCTCTTCTTCTCTTGTGCTTACAGCATTGCCCCCATTGGGTGTCCTTAGATATCGTCCCACACACTCTCACTCCTTCCATATACATTCCTTTACATATCCCAAGGGCTTTGCAGTGCGACTCTTGGAACGCATATGTGCTCCCTTAATGGGTGACATTACGAGTACTACACTCACTGGCTGTCAGTTAAATGTGTAAGTGGGCTGCCTGCTGCTGCTCTCTCTTTCTTTCTCTATCTCTCCTTCTCTATAGTTTGCCAACTCAGTCGCATCAAACTGAAACTAACGGTGCGCCACAGCTGCGCCTTAAAAGTAGGCAATTAAGTTTACGAGCGTCCTACTCTAGGCCTTTAACTCAGTGTTGTAACTCGATTAATTACAAAATAGCGCATAGACTTTCTCTGTCTCTCTCCCTCTCTCTCCCTCTCTCACTGTCACTTTCTTTTGCCCCTCTTGGCTCTTTGCTCAACTATTAAATTGTGACTTGAAATGGACGCTGAATGTAGTTAAGCTGCTGGGAATATATGCCTCGGCTATCTGGCATGCATTACAGCTCTTTTTAATGGTTACTTAGTATGGAAATATTATAGTTGCCTGTAAGCAATATATGCGCTCTCTTCCAAAATGCTGTACTATATGCAGACATCATATCTAAATGATAATATGACAGTTAACTTAATAAATTATAATTGAATTTGATTTATAGTTTATATATACGTGTGTATTTTTTGTTTAATTACTTTTCATATTATTTTCACATATTGCTTTACATCTTAACTAACAAAATGAATTATTATAATATATGAATAACAATTATATTTTGTATAAACTCCAAAATATTCGACTATGATTGAACAGCTCAATCAGTTGATTAATCTTAAGCTGTATATGTTATATAATCATATAATTTAAGCATATGCCTCATTCTCTAGTTGCCTCTCTTCTAGTATTTGACTCTGCAAGCAATAATCAAATCTCATTTTCTTCATCTTCTTCATAGGCCTTGCACTCAACACAAACTCATTGACCGGTCGTCGCGACTCGTTCGATCGCACCACATCTGCGTTCAGCCCCTCGGCCATGGACTACACCACGAGCAGCGTCGCCGCCGCCAATGCGGTGAACAGCAGCGTGGCTCAAGCCGCTGCAGCTGCTGCGGCTGCAGCGCGAGCCAAATGGCCCGGCGCCATGTCGAATAGCAGCGCATACGGAGCGCTGGGCGCAGCGGGAGTCAATGCCTCGGCCAGTCCGTTGGGCGCACCGTTGACACCGCCGCCGACTGGCCAGTCCTGCCTGATGGGCGGCAATCGGGCGCCCGGCGCCGAGTCGCGTCAACGCCAGCAGCTGGCGGTCGGTCTGCCGGCCACAGCGGCAGCGGCCCAGGCGGCAGTTGCGGCCGCAGCGAACAATATGTTCGGGTCGAACAGTTCGCTCTTCTCGAATCACTTGGCGCTGCCGGGCACAACGCCCGCCGCCGTGGCCGCTGCCGTGGCGAACTCAAGGCAGGTGGCCGCCGCTGCTGCGGTGGCTGCTGCTGCGGCCGGTGCAACCGGCGCACCACAGCCGGGCAGGTCGCGCCTGCTGGAGGATTTCAGGAATCAGCGGTATCCGAACTTGCAGTTGCGCGATCTGAGCAACCACATTGTGGAGTTCTCACAAGATCAGCATGGCTCACGCTTCATCCAGCAGAAACTGGAACGGGCCACAGCCGCCGAGAAGCAAATGGTCTTCAATGAAATTCTGGGCGCCGCCTACAGCCTGATGACAGACGTGTTTGGCAACTATGTAATTCAGAAGTTCTTTGAGTTTGGTACTCCAGAGCAGAAGAACACGCTTGGCATGCAGGTCAAAGGTCACGTGCTGCAGTTGGCGCTCCAGATGTACGGCTGTCGCGTGATCCAGAAGGCGCTGGAGAGCATTTCTCCTGAGCAACAGCAAGAGATCGTTCACGAACTGGACGGACATGTCCTCAAGTGTGTCAAAGATCAGAATGGCAACCATGTCGTGCAGAAATGCATCGAATGCGTCGATCCCGCTGCACTGCAGTTTGTCATCAATGCGTTCAAGGGTCAGGTCTATTCGCTGAGCACACATCCCTATGGCTGCCGGGTCATACAACGCATCCTCGAGCACTGCACACCCGAGCAGACCACGCCCATTTTGGACGAATTGCACGAGCATACAGAGAACTTGATCCAAGACCAATATGGCAACTATGTCATTCAGCACGTTCTAGGTAAGTCGGGCAAGTCCTTTCGTACGAAATCGAATCAGCCTTAGGCCAGTGGTAAATGAAGATATCCAGGTTTTTTTTTTCTATTACAAAAATTGGACTGTGAGCACGCCCTATCCTGTGTGTAGCGTTTCAGCGTAACGTCCTTCATGTTAATACATTTTTGGTGTAATTGTTTCAGAGCATGGCAAGCAGGAGGACAAATCGATACTGATTAACAGCGTGCGTGGCAAGGTGCTGGTGCTGTCGCAACACAAGTTTGCCTCGAACGTGGTGGAGAAGTGTGTGACACATGCCACACGCAGCGAGCGCACGGGTCTGATCGATGAGGTGTGCACATTCAATGACAAGTAAGTAGCCTAATAAATATAATGTGGGCATGTAAATGCGCATAATCTGTAAATAAATGATGTGGCTTACTAATGCCGGCCCCTCTTGCGCGATTGTCCTGCAGCGCCTTGCACGTCATGATGAAGGACCAGTATGCCAACTATGTGGTGCAGAAGATGATTGACGTGTCGGAGCCGACGCAGCTGAAGAAGCTGATGACCAAGATACGACCCCACATGACCGCCTTGCGCAAGTACACCTATGGCAAGCACATCAACGCCAAGCTAGAGAAGTACTACATGAAGATAACGAATCCCATAACCGCTGTCACGGCCAGCGTCGGTGTTACCAGCACTGCCAGCACATCAGCAACCACAACAGTTGCCGCCATCAGCAGCAGCAGCAGCAACAGCAGCACCACCAACACCAACAGCAGCAACAGCAGCATCAGCAACAGCAGCAGTGCAACCGGTACCACCGGAGCCACGCCCTCCTCAACATCTATTGTGACCGGCAGTGCAGTTACCACAACCACCAACAGCATCGGATCGCCGAGCATTTGTGCCGTGCAGGAGAATGGGAGCATCTCGATGGCCGAGCCGACATCGCCAGCCACCTCAGAGTCGTCCGGCACTGTGGGAGTGAGCTCCGCCCTTGGTCCCATTGGACCACCAACAACAGCCAACGGAGTGTTGTAAAGTGACGAAATGCAGCGCGTTAACGAATTTTAGTTTTTAGTCTCTGGATGAAGAAGAAGATGGAAAAGCAAAAGGAGTACGACAAGAATAGCATAAAAAGCAAAGCGAATGCATACTATAAATATTATAAACAAAAATATACATATATATATATACACACACACATAAAATACTAACTATAATACAAAGAAATGTAATGTAATTTATTTATAAACACAACGCAGAAGAACAAACCTGCAGAAAGATAAACCAACACAAAGATTCTCAGCCCAAGAGCGGGTTATAGAGAGATCGACTTCCAAGAGGGGAGAAATCGATAATTTGTATATTCAACTGTAACAAAAACCAACAACTAAATATGATCGTTAAACGCTTTTGTAAAGTGCGTAATACTAACACATACACTGAAAGAAAAAAACATGCGATGAGTTGAATAGCTGCAAATAATTTGTGCGTTCAATTTTAATTGTTTCATTTATTGCATCCCAGAAAATATGCGAGAAAATATTTTTAAAATGCTGTCGAAATGAAAACTTCGAGCTCGAGCATAAAAAAAATAAAAATAAAAACAAAACAAAAAAAAAAGAAAAGCATGTCTGCGTACATTTTCGTTGTAACAATTTTGTATAAAAATGAGAAAAAACTAAAAAAAAAAAAAAAAAAAAAAACTAAAAACTAATTTGTAAATGTTTAAGCAAAGGAATCGACTGTAAATTTGAATTATTTAAACAAAAGCGCGTGACGTTTAGTTGCGAAACAGAGCAGATCAAAGTAATGAAGAAAAGAACGAATTAAAGAAAGCAAACATAAGAAAGAACACGATTATTAGCATAGAATTTAACTGCAACCATTTCAAATAATTATATGAACATATATAAACATATAAATATTATCAAGTACACAATTCAATATAACGAACAACTTAAATGTAGAATGTAGGCTAAAGAGCAAGCAAATTAAATATGTGTAAAGAACTTCATAATATAAAGAAAAGAAGCCAGCAGCACACACACAGTCTCACAAACACACCCATACACATTCACACACACCCACACACAGGCAAAACAATCGAGAACTCTTTAGCGTTGCGTTTTGCAACAATTTCACGTCGCTTTTGCGCTATGTAAAATTTTGTACAAAAAAAAAAAAAAAAAAAAAAACAAACAAACAAACAAACAAAACAAAAACCAACAACAACCAGAAAAACCATGTAAAACAATGTAATAATTATTAAATATATATTTTTTTGTCAGTTTGTTGTTCCCATGTAAAATTCAAAGCTGTTTTGTAAAATTCTCATTAATTTAATTCGATCACTTGTTTGTAAATTACCTGTAAACAAAATAATGTTAAAGAAAGCCCCTCAAACACACACCCACACACACACACATACATAGAAGACTCATACTCACACATATGCATATATATATATATATAAGGAAAACACATTCACTTAAAGCGTGTGAATCCCCCACTATATACCAGCTATACATGCATATATATACATACATACTATACATACTACACACACATATACATATATATATATATTTACATTCATATTTGTATTTTGTAAATTGTTTTGATTTTAAGCGCCCCACACACACACAAACTCTCACATAAATTTGTATTTATATATATATATATATAGAAACGCGCTTCTTTGGGCCGTCGATCCGAACTCTTTTGTTTAGCTGCTAAGATTTAACTGATTACTGATTTATGACTTCACTTTTAAGTTTCTTTTAGTTATGATTTTTCAAAGATATGCATATATATATATATATTTACTTTTTAACGAGCAACTCACTCACAAACACGAATGTAAAACCAATTGATTAAAAGCATAAATACAATTAAATATTTCAAGACCACTTGTAAGTCATTGTTTAGTTCGCCCACCTTTTATATTGCATACAAATAAGAATGTTAGAAATTATTCATATATGAAACATTTTTTATTCACGCGCCAAGCTGTAGCGGCAGTTACGCGCCAAGCAGTGCAGATGCATGCAGTGGAAAAAATATGCACTGCTTGCGCGTTTTCTGGTTTACAGTTGAATGGCCACTGGACGCAGCAGCTGTGGACGCTCGCGTTTTAAATTGTGTTTTCATTTTGATTTTTAATATTAACAAATACTGCGCGGCTTGAAATGCAAACATGTTCAGACACACCCACACACACTACATGTAAATTGAGATATTTTATTGTATGTACACACACATTGTAAAAAATCAGAAGCTTTGTACATTTTGATAAAAACCTTTAGTATATCTCTCGACGCCTTAAGCAAAAGTAAACGAAACAAAAAAAAATCGAATTTAAATTCCTAATTTATGCAAAACTTTTTCATTTTAATATGTACATTTTTGTCGGGTTTTCTCTACGGGCAAACACAAAATTCAATGTGTTTATTTTTAAACACACGTAATGTATATATAACACATATTTAGCGAGCATATGTAATTTTTGTGTAAATTTCAAACTAAACCCACACACACACACCTAACAGCCCCTAGCGTATTTCAAGCGTTGGCGCAACAATAATTTTGGTATTAAATTTGTGTATTTTTTGAAGAAATATATAGATTTTATTAATTTGTTAGTTATTAACTTATTAACTGCCTGTCGACAGAGCGCAATGCACTGATTAATTTTAATTTACATAATCATAAAAAAAAAAAAAACAAAAACACTGTATTTAGATTCTCAAGCGCAGCATAGGACATATACACAGCCTCATACACCCACATACACACATACATGCTGCAAAGCTGTCGTAGTTAGCCTAAGGCAAGATCTTATACATAACGAACACAATATACATATAAACAGATATGATATATATTTCTATGTACCACACTCGATTATGACTAGCAGCAAAGATTTTAAATACTTATATATGATATATGACATATTTGTACATGTATTTGTATATGTAAAGTAGGAAACTAAATCAACCAGCAGCACAGTGAAATTTGAGAAGAAACTAGCGCTATATACATAAATATGTTCATATACATATATATATGTATATATTCATTATGCTAGTTTTAACAGTAAACATATTTTGCACGCATATTAAACGCTCGATTAAACCGACAAGGAAAATCCATTTAAAATTGAGAAAATGTCAACAATTGTAACGTAACTTATATAAAAATCAATGGATATAAAGAACAACTTATGACATAAGCCAATCGTAGTTTTAAAAATGAATATGAAATTGATTTTCATAGAGTTGGTTTTTATAAAAACATTTTGACAACTCAAACGAAATAAAAACCAATTTCACAGCTGCCAAAGCAGGCAAAAAAGAAAAAGAAAAAAAGAAAACTTTTCAAAGTGTACATTTTATTTTGCAACAAGTGCATAAACTAAGGAATGAGCGATGAGTAATAAAATAAAAACCATATTTCAACTAATTGCTATAATATATATATAAATATATTCATACAAACGAGCAGCAGAAATTTGTAAAATTTTTCGACAGCAAAAGATTGTAAACTAAGCTTAAGGTATACACTGAGAGAAAAATAAAACCATTTGTAATTTGTTGTAAAAAGCATAGTACGATAGCAAGAATATAAGCATGGTATAAAGTTGGCGTCAAGTAAAAACTATAAAATATTTATAAATATACATTATACATACACGTAAATACTTATAAAGCATAAATAATTATATTTTGTAGTTACACACACAATCACACACACACACACACACTCCGATGAACCTTTAGTTTTGTAAACAGCGCGCAATCGGCACAAGTTACGTACGAGTCTACATATATATATAAAGAAAGCATAAGAAAGAAAAATATATAATTCGTAAATAGCATTCGAGCTTTCGAGCCTTTAATTTAATTATGCATTAAAATTTAAAACGAAAAGAAAAACACACATACACACGCAACTCTTATGTTTATTCTATAAATTATATTTAATGCTAATTTCATTGTGAGTAAAATAAAAAACAAAAAAACACCGTTTATGATGAAACAAAAATACAAAAATTGAAACGTTTTATTATCACAACTGTTCAGTTTATCATGGTTTATATTCCCATTCAAGTTCCAACCAATTGGCTTCAATAGAAGGCTGCGATGATAACAAATCTGAAATCAAAATTCATATTAATATGGCATAAAGTTAATAGATAGCATACTATATATAGTATACATAACATGCATATACATCTCTATAAATATATATAACTAACCTATAACCATTCCAACAAAACCAGTAAAAGAAAGCCGAAAGATAGCGCAAAGCTTGAGGCATTTTATACGGCGCATTTTTTATATAAACAGGCTAGCTGTCTATGATATAAACCTATATAACATATGTATATATACATATATATATATAATTATACATACCCAAGAATGATCAACTTTTATATGAGCCAGTAAGTAAACGGACATATTTTTTTATTAGCCTTGGCAAGCTGCTCTTTTTCCAGGCCGAACATTTTAACGAAATTAACAATTACCAAAATTCACAAATATAATACATTTAAAATTAAAAACTAAAACAAAACGAAAACGAAATTAAAACCAAATGCAAAAATAAAGAAGAAAGCAAGAAATAATAATCCCAAAAGAAAATAAATTCAAACAGTAGATCTTTCCATTGTAGAATTGAAATGTATGTAAAACTATATAGATTTTTACTTGAAAATTGTTCTCGATGGGCAAATCTCGATAGGCATGTGCTATGTTACAATAACATTACAACAACAACAACAGCAACAGCAAACTTGTAGAAAAACAACAACAATGTTAATGATGATCCCTCACATAATACTGTATATACAGAATACTCGTATAAGGCATTCGTTTGCGATTTGGTAGTAAGTGAAAGGGACGATTGCACATTTAGAAAATATATTTCAAATTTTACAAAACAACAAACAAAAGATATATATTATATGAATCTATTAGATTTTGATCTTGTATCGGGCTAAGATCTTATAGATCTGGACCCAGTTGTAAAGCAACAATTAAAACAAAAAATTAAAAAATTAAAATATAAATCCATTTGTTTTTCTTAGCTATTTGTTGATATATATATATATACATTTTTTTTTTTTTTTTTAATGTATAGCCTTTGATAGCTCGTGATTAGTCCTAACACTTACTCCAAATGCAAATTTGGAGCACTTTCGACCAATGCTAAAACTGTACTACTTAAGGTTGGTTAATGTTTCAGTTTCCTTTTGAATGCCCCCGTTAATGCCACAACAGCACCCAAGAAACCAACTCGAATTCAATTAAATGAAATGGAAAACATGAAACCTAATTAGCTACTCGTATGTACATAGGTGTACGAACATAACTAAAGATGAACAATTGTAAAACTAAATACTTCTACATATTTAATAAAAAGAAACATTAAAAAATAAAAATATAAGAGTTCTTATTTTAACAATCAAAGTGTCAATTATAAAAGAACTTACATCATGACACTCCCAATTAAGTCGTTTAATAAAAATCAAAGGCATGGGGAATTTATTATTGACTATTTTATTTAATATAATTACATTTTTATTGTTGAGTAATTATCTTTATTTTTCAAAATAC